CCAGTAAGTCCAGTGGGTCCATCCCAGTCCTGCTGCCCTCCAGTAAGTCCAGTGGGTCCATCCCAGTCCTGCTGCCCTCCAGTAAGTCCAGTGGGAGATAGAGGTGAAGGTCATGCAGGTGGCTGCTGGTTCCAACATGCCAGGTTTCCATCAGCCTCCACTCTCACCCACTGGGCCCACTCTTGCCCCCTCTCCTGTCATCCTGGTATCAAAAGGAGGCAACAACACTTCTGGTGGCCTTCCATGGAGAAGGAGGCAGCCTGCCCGACGTTTTCGACCCATTCATTCAGAAAGCGATAACTTCATTCACTAGCTAACTGCAGCCAACTACACCTGCCAGCGATAACTGGGATTCAGCCTGAAAGCTGGCGAGACATGAGAAGTGGCAACTTCTGAAAAACCAGAATATTGTTCAGAAACACTTCCTGCTGTTCCGACAATACTTCCATCACTCCTCCACCCAGCTGGATGATAGAAATACCTGCTGCTCACCTGTTTCCAAATCCTAACAAAGAAGGCATGCAAGGATGCTTCAACAGCAACTGCTTCATATATAAGATCTGTAATATAGTCCATACGTGTTTCTGAACGGTCTTCTGGAATTTCAAACATCGCTGACAAAGCTAACCCCCTACAATAGTGTGCTACCTCTCATTGTTTAAAATGCCCGTACATTTCTAATGCTGCATCAGACACCATGAAATGAACCTGATGGTGCAGGAAGTGACCACCAGGTGAGCTGACCAGGTGAGCTGACCAGGTGAGCTGACCAGGTAGCCGCTGACTGAAGCGTCTCCACTCACCAGCAGAGAGGCTGTTATCGGCCCTTTGATAATCCACCAAATGCCAACGTTGTCTGTGTCGTCCCAGCAGCTGCAATGAAAACATGATGGAAGTTAATTCAGCGTTGAAATGAAATCTACTGTTGAACACGCAGCGGCACAAAGCGCGACGATAGCTGTGAAATCATGAGACGCTGCTACGCTACACGTACAGTACAGTAGCATAATAAGATAAATCATACCCTCTGTCATCGTAGAAGAATCTGGTCAGAACCCAGAGTACGAGGACTGTTGACGGGAGCCCTGTGAAGTAAGAGCAGAGATTAATTATGCATGCTCCGTTTATCTGTCAAGTCAAATTAATCCGAAACACGCTCGCGCTCCAACTCTGTTTGCTGCAATTTTTATGGAAATGTTGTTGGGCGTGCAGGACATTGTGCTTTTCTCCGTGTATCACATTTATCTGCGGCCCACTTGCATCTCTGTGACAAGAGAAGAAGAACCAGGCAGGGGATGAAAGCAGGAGACAGCACAGAGCAAAATATTAAAGCTGGGAAGAAGCTGATAAGAGCATCAGAGCGCCGTGATACCACTCAGAGACGCTCATACGAACGGCTCAGGCTGCTGTCAGGAGGTAGAAAACACAGATAGTCAGATATTTATTTACTCATATTCTAAAGCCCTGTTATTAGAACAGCTTAGACTACAATCAGAACCGAATCCACCGGCAGTTCTGATACTCAGCCGATGTTTGACATGTTGGATCTCGTTTGTTTTAAAAATGTGGAGTGAAAGGCTTCAAATACAACATCTGTTAAAGATATCTGAATTTAATAAGGTGATTTTATCTGAAACCTGCAGAACTTTGGTTTCTCCTTTCTGCCAACGTGTTCTTATGATGCATGTTTCACTGAGTTTCTCTTCTTATACGCTTCTTCTAGGTTTTTGGTTTAGGCTGCAT